GTAGTTTATAAGAATGGTTCTATCCAAACATAGTTGCACACACCTGTAATCCTAAAACTTAGGCATTTGAGGCAGGAAAACCATGCATTTGAGGTCAGCTGAGACTATATAAGTAGACATTAACCTTTTTAATTTTTTTAGGAGTTGTTTTGTTTTGGATTTAAGGTGCTGGAAGGATGGCTCAGCACTTGCTGCTCTTGCAGAGGACTCAGATTTTGTTGTCCGAGCCTACCTGGCAGCTCATAACCATCTATAATTATAGTTCCAGGGATCTTGCACCCTCTTCTGGCCTCTGTGCACACTGGCAACACATAGTAACATGCAGGCAAAACACACATAAAATAAAAATAATCTTTATTATTTTAAGTTTTCTGGGGTTTGTGAGTTTTCATTTGTTTTGTTTGGGGGCGGGATTGTTTTGTTTTTCAAGACAGTTTTTCTCTGTGTAACCCTTGGCTGTCCTGGAACTTGCTCTATAGTCCAGGCTAGCCTTGAACTAACAGAGATCTGCCTGCCTCTGCCTCTAGAGTGCTAAGATTAAAGGAATTAAGGCAATCAACTTTCTGAGGCAGGAAAGTAGGTTAGTAGACATTAGAAACTTTTATTGCATTTGTGTGCATGTGTATGTAAGCATGTGCAATCATGACACACATGTGGAGGTCAGAGGTCAGTCTCCTCTTTCTACCCTGTCTCATAGGGATGGAACTCAGGCTTGGCAGCAAACACCTCTATCTGAACCATCTCATAGGCCTACATCAGGAGACTTGTTAAAAGTTGAGACGAAAAGATTTTCAAGAAACTAGATAAGGGAAGTTCCATGAACTAAATGTGCAATTTTTAAAAGATTTCATTTAACTGAATTTCAATAAAGGGCCTAAAATATGTTTTTAATTTAAAATATAAGAATAAGCCTGTTAGCATTCAGTATGGAGATGGCTTCTAAGGAAGAGACAGTTTTAAGGGTGTGCCCTCTGGTTAACCATGCTCCACCAGGTGGCTCCATACCCATGAATACAAGGGTAACACAGATGTACTTGTTTAAAAAAAAAAAAAACAAAACTGAATATATGGCCTAGCCATTAAAGCATTAAAGGCTAGGCTCACAATGTGTGTGGGGGAGGGATTATATTTGAATGGCATGGAATGAATACACATACACATATGAAATATGAAATTAGGAGATACGGAGGTAAGGTAGATATGGGAGTTGTGGGGCTAAGTATGATCAAAATACATTGTATGCATATATGAAATTCTCATAGAATGAAAACATAAAAAATAAGCTGGATATGATAGCACACGTATTTATTCCAGCACTCTAGAGCCATGTGCAGATGGAGCTCACAGCCAGCCTGGTCTACATGACTTTTGGGCCAGCCAGGACTACATAATGGGAATGTCTCAAGAGGGAGATATAAGGCTGGGGATGTGGTTCAGTTGGTACTGCACTTGCTTCTCATACACAAAGCTCCCCAAGTTCTAGCCCCCACATTGTTGCATAAACTGGGTGTGGTAGCACTTGCCTGCAGTTCCAGTGCTAAGGGGACCAAGGATAGAGGAAGGAGGATCAAAGTTTGAAGCTACATGGGCTACATGACAGAGCCTGTCTCAAGAAAGTAAAAATGTAATTCACACTTCTACTTCTGGATTATAAAAGGCTCCAGAGAACTACTGAACGCTTTATTCTGTGTTTATACCCACCATGTCTTATATGTCCCATAGCAAGCCCCACATCAAATATTCTAGCCCTTTGTTTCTGTAAATAATCAGAGTTTCAGATATTTGGCTCAAACCGCAACTCCCAGTTAACACCTAAAACTACATACACTCCTTTGTCACACCGAGTATGTGCCATCACCATCTCCACTCACTCTAGGTAGTGTTTCTATCCCAGGAATTTGCAGAACCAGCATACTTCTGCCCCAAAATTGCTTAATTTGATAGGGAAAACTTATCTAAGAAGGGAGAATTGAGCACCGTCTGCCTTCATACTTTTGTACCAACAATATCCCTAAAAAAGCTTCAATTTATTTTATACTTGTTTTTAGTGATCTGCTTTTACCCAAACTCCTCTGCTCATGGCTTAACACCTCATAAAGCAATTGGTGTTTGATTGTTTTCCTCAAGACAGAGCTACTACTCTGTTTAACAGCCCTGGCTGGCCTGGGACTGGGTTTGTAGACTGGCCCACCTGCCTCTGCCTCCCGAATATTGGGATTAAATGTATACACCATCACACCCAGCTAAGTAATTGGTTTTTTAATCAAGACGGGGGTCTCATTATGTAGCCCTGGCTGTCCTGAACATCACTGTATATATCAGGCTGGCCTCCAATTCAGAGATCCACCTGCCTCTGTTCTTTTAATTGTTGGATCTGACAAACACTGACTCTGCAGGTGCCTGTGTAGTTCAAAGTTATCAGATCTTCTGTAGGTGGAGTTACAGGTGGCCGTAAGCCACCCAAAATGGATGCTCGGAACCAAACTCGGGCCTTCTGCAAGAGCAGTAAGCACCCATAACTGCTGGAGAATCTTCTGAGTGACATCTCAGGTAAACAAATGAACACAATTTGCCAGAAGGAAGGGTACGTTGAGTAACTGAAAGACACAGTGGCATTAAACCCCAAAGCTAACTAACCCTAAACATGACATCTGGATATAACATGCAGAAATGAGACCAGGAAATTCAGTCACTAAAGAACATCATTTTTCAAGTAAGAAAGCAGGGTTCCCTGAACTAGTCAGTGTCAGGAAAACAGCTGTGTCCACTGGGTACAATGTGTTGAGCAACTGGCTGGATTCAAAGAGGGGAGGAAGGGAGGGACACAATTGGGATACTGAGGTTCTGGCTTTAAGTGGCACGTGGCTCACTAAGTGGCTCATAAAACAGGGAGAAACAGGTCAGCAGGAAAGTGAGTTCAGGTTTAGTATGCTGTCACATTGGAAGTCATGTAGTAGGTAAGCAGGCAGATCTATGGAGGGTTAGAAGCAAGTGATGGGTAAACTGGGCAAGAGCAGGGTTGTCCAGGCTGGAGGGGTGAGAGGTAGACCAGGCTTCAACTGCACTAGTGAACTTTGGTGATTCTGAGGTGGCCTCTGGTACAATGGAAATTGTTTTATCCTTGGGCTGTACTAACTAGAAACCCACAAGACCCTCCCAGTTGTGTGTCAAATGTTATCTCCAGGTGTTGGCTGATGTTTCCACAACACTAACAAGAATGGTTACTGAACCATCCCTTTTGGTTTAGTTTGTTTCATAGCCTTACCTTGCTGGCCTGGAACTCAGTATATACCAGGATGTGCCCCATAGCTGGCTCATATGGTGTTGGAAGGAGGGGTTGGTTTTATTTACAAGTAATCTTGCCCCTAATAGAATTATGTGTCACAATCATGCTCTGCAAAGCCCTAGAAACAACAGCTACATTTGGTAGTTTCTGATGTATCAGACCCTGAGCACTCCCACCAGGTAGTTGGGAGCTCCTGGGTCAAGAAAAGTAATGTAAGGTTTGGTAACATGTCCAGAGATACCAATCAGACACACATTAGAGTCTGACTTTAGAATCTTGGCTCCATAACCCATGTTTTAATCCTTTAGCCACCATTCCAAATAACCTCCACCAGGCCACCATAGCTCAGGGAGGCTGATCTCACTCAATCACTCCATCATTCCTATTACACATTGTATCCTAGCATTTGGTTCAAGCTCAGCAATTTTTTTCTTTTTCTTTTGAGGTGGAGGTGAGACAGGGTTTTCTCTTTATTATTTTGGAGACTGTCCTGGACTTGCTCTACAGACCAGGCTGGTCTCGAACTCAAAGAGATCCACCTGCCTCTGCTTCCAAAGGGCTGGGATTAAAGGCATATGCTACCAATGCCCAACTCAAGCTCAGCAATTTGAGTTCAAATATTTACTGAATTAGTAGTGTCATTTCTGACTCTCAACTCTGAAAATACATCTTTTTCATAGACCTGTGCCGTTTTAGACAATAGCTGCTTACACACAGCAAGTTAAGGACCAAGGAAGGACTTTTGCTAAGATTAACTTTAATACCACTCCGCAGCCCATAAAGCATTACTCTCATATTGCCTCCTTACCTAATATATCCCACTGCCTTGGACACCTCAAGGATGGAGAGTGGTGGGAGAGGAACAAATTAAGAAGGACTTTTGCAGTGTCCAAGCCTGAGCAACACAAGCTAGAATCTGTTGCCCTTGCAGAGAACCCAAGTTTAGTTCCCAGCACCCACACAGCAGCTCGACCATTTGTAATCCAAATCACCACACATGGCACACATTGCATACATTCAGGCCACACTTATACACAAAAAAATAAATCTGAAAAATAAATTTAGGGGGATGGATATGTGGCTCCAGGATAAAGCACTTGTCTATTATATGCAAGGTCCAAATAACAAGGCTGCACCAAGGATGTCAGGTACTGCTATCATAAACAGTTCAGTCAATGACCACATTTTCTAGGCTCAAATTCGTATCCAAATACTTACTTCAGTATGTCAGGGCAGGCAACCATCATTCACAAGAGATAAATACTGAATCTGGGAGTCAGGCTCTAAAGGGAACAATGAAAGTTAGAATTCTTCCTAGCATGAATAAGAGGAAAACCCACAAGCAGACTTGAAGTCTGTAACAGATATACTTGCACATCTAAATGTTTCAACAGGGCCCAAGAAGGGAGGCTGTAATACAAAAGCAGTCAAGTGATAAAGTTCTCCTCTGTAGACATACCAGTGATGAAAACACTCGTAAAACTCCGATTTTCGGCAAATCCTAACATGGACTTGAGCTTTAGGGAGGGAGAGACTTCTCTAGACTGACTGCTTCACAGTAGCTCAATTGTGGGGAAGCTGCCAGCTATGTGGGGGGTCATTTTTCAGGCTGGTCTTCCAAATCTCTGCATTGCTATACTGGTGTGTATTCAGATGTTTGTACTTAAAAAAAAAAAAAAAAAAAAAATCAACTAATTTTGCTTTGTCCTTTCAGCTCCTTTGAAGATTATGAAGCAGATGAACCTGTGTCTCCCTCTGAATTTGGAAACAAGGGTAATAAAATAGTAACTTCAAGCCTTTCAGAGAAATGTGGAAAGCTTCAGTCAGTGGATGAAGAGTAGTTGCCAGCATCTACACAGAAGGATGGTGTGTAGAGATGTTCTAGTTTGCACACTGCTTTGTAAAGGTTTTGATTGCTTGAAGTGCACTAGAAACTGAAATGCACACAGGAGAACCCTCCAGTGTGCTGCAAACCTCGTGCAGAGCTGTTCCTTGGAAGTACATACTGTCATCACTCTCCAGAGTATGCGGTCCACTCTACACCCCTCAGTGTAAGGAGACTTTCTTGGAAACAAGGCCAAGCACAGTTCTCTGCACAGAAAGAAGCTGCCTCAGTATTGGCCAGCTTCCCTGGGGTCCCTTCAGGCTCCTACAGAACCTAGAAGAAAACTTGAGTCAAAAATTCTGGAACTTGGAAAGGGCCCTCTAGAATTGACTTTGTAAAACCTAGTAACAAAAGCACTGCCAAACATCTCAGAGACTACTTTTATGTACTGGAGTTCAGGGACCTTGAACTTACCTGGTTTAATGTAATTTCACCATGACCTGCCAAACTGCTAGTCACTTTACATTCTCAGGTATTGTAACCACTAGGCCCTTCCAACTTTGCTGGCAAGCTCGGCAGCCTCTGCATCTATCTGACTGTGGGTCTTGTACAAAATCTCAAGAAAAGTCCTTAACATTAAAGTAAGTATAGAATCTGGCACTCACGATAGCATTTGTAGCCAACTATTGGATGACTGTTAATCCACAGGTTAGTTGATGATCTTCATTTCTAGCAGGCCTACTTGAAGACTTCAGGAATGTGACATACCATGGAAACGTCTCACTATACATATTTTCTCCCCTTCTTGAATACTAGAGTAAGCCAAAAGTAAAAGTATTCCTTACTTCACATGGAAAAGAAACTACTACACCAGATACTCACTCCCCTCATTATCAAACTTGGAAGAAAACAATGATTCTCACCCACAGTAGAAAACCTTTTCACTGTAGTGGGAAATTCAAAATCCTGTATTTTTCAACAGGCTCCAATGCAGCCAAATCCTACAATGCTTATTATCCTTTATGCTGGAGACAAAAATACTACAGAAAGGATGAACATCTATAATCACAGAATTTTGTTATCCATGTCTTTCAAAGACAACTTTTTCCTATCTCATTTTGTTTTCAGTCTTTTAAAGGCTTAAAATAACCTCCCTTTTCTCTCCATCCTAATTATCTTGCTGGTAAAAAGGCCAAGCATTGAAATAATCAAACCTTGGATGATGGTAAGCTAAACGTGGAGGAAAAAAAAATTAAAATGTATATCAACTAATAGTAGAAGTTAGCAAGCCCAGCAATTCTGCCTGTCGTGAGATCCTCCAGCTCTCTGGTTATTTTTACTTTCATGACCTCAACTAATCTCCCACATAACCACTATAGAAACTGGTAACTATTACAACTAATAGCTCACGAGCTAATGAAAACATAACAGTGACTAAATTTTGAGAATATTTTACAAGAAACATCTAGATGTGATGAGTAGTTAAGGCAGGAGAGAGAGTGCACTCTATACAATAGCCTCAATACACTGATAAATGTTGCTTACGTTAATGCTAGCACTCAGACGAAACTGAGGCAAGGAGGATCAACAGCTCCAAGATTGAGACCAGCCTCAGCTACACAGTGAAACCCTGTCTTAAAATTATGTGATGTTATCATCAATCCCATCCAATCTTTAGCAGGGAGGAAAAAACTTTTTAATTTCAAATAAAAATACAAGAAGGTAAAACTTGGGTTTTTTAAAAGCAATTTAAATGATTTTATTAGCTATGTGTTCTAAACTGTTTTGAGACTCACCAAAAAGTACAATATAAAATTCAACTTTATAATATCCCTTAAAGGCCATGAGCATAGGTTGAGCAAGCTAGGCCTTACTAGCTACACTAAAATTGTGTGCAACTTGTACTTTATCTGTGGTGCTAGGAATCAAAACCTAGAACCATCCACATGCTAAGAACGCAGTCCACCTTCAGCCTTCTTAGCTTATTTTCTCCCATCTTTCTCTTACTGAAACTCTCACTTTTACTTCCATCGAAGCCCATCAACACCACAAAGTTTGAGATGGATTATTTTATTTGGGTTACATGAATTATATTTTCAAGAATTACCTTATTCCCAAACTGGAAGTGCCAAGTTGTGACAATACCCCAGGGACCTTGGAAAAGATGAATTATAATCGAAATCACTGGTTTCCAACCTTCCTAATGCTGCAATCCTTTAATACCGTTCCTCATGTTGTGGTGACCCTCAACCATAGTTATTTTTGTTGCTACTTCATAACTAATTTTTCAACTGAGTCATAAATGTCTGATGTGACCCCCTAAAGGGTCATGACCCACAGATCTAAATATTATATAATGAAAGGGTGGTTTCAGCTGGGCATTTGTAGTGCACATATTTAATCCCACCACTCGGGAGGCAGATGCAGGCGAAGGTTTGAGGCCAGCCTAATCTACAAAGCGAGTTCCAGGAAAGGTTCCAAAGCTACAGAGAAACCCTGTCTCAAAAAAAAAAAAAAAAAAAAAAAAAAAAAAAAAATTATAGTTCCCTGTATCCATCTTACCTGTTACTATACTGTTCAAAATGTTTAAGAGAAAAATACCAAACTTCTAATTCAGCTATCATTTTCTCAGCTTTGAAAGTGTTTGACTAGCTATGATGCATGACTTGTTTTCCCCTTTTCACAAAACAAAATAAAGTTGTCAAATGTATGAACTGTGTTCGTTACACATTTTTGATTTTAGATACACTTAACAATTCATTTTTATGCCTATAGGAAAAGTTGAGTTTTTGCAATAATTAATTCTTTGAAGCATTGGGAATACTATAAAGAAAAGTCTAAAGGGTACTATCTCACTTAGAAGCATTTTCCTCTGGGATAAAAGAGGTTTTCTAGGACCAAAGGAGACTTTAGCTTTATCTGTATATTATTAGGCTGTATTACTACATGTTATTGGGTACCTAAAACAAAGCCAAGAATATTAGAACAAGACCCTACAGTCTTGAGATGTCCTAAGAGTATTGTTACCTATGGAAAAAGGAAAGTCTACTCATTTATTTAACATTTTTACTTTTCTTCAGTAAGGTTATTGTGAATTTTTTTTTTTTTAAAGAAAGCAATTACACAGACCCTTTATACCCCAGTGCTTCATGATGAAAATATACACTCAAAGAATAGAACCAAAAAGAAAAATTGTAAAATCTCTAATGACAAGGACTCGGGTTATTCAGGATATACCAATTTAAATGCAGTCGTGTTTTGTCTTTAGTAATTTCTTATCCTGATAAATACATCCAGTTCCTTCAATAAATTCTTAGTTAAGTCAGCATTTGTCAACGTTATTTGAAAAAACCAAAAAAAAAAAAAAAAAAAATGTTATAAAGGAAAACATAACAAACCAAGGCACTATAAGTACTCTTCCCCAGGCTAATACAAACCATTCAAAACATGCTATCCCAAACTCCTCAGTATTCTACAACATACAATTAGAAAACTATCATTTATTGATAGACTTAAGGTATAATACAGGTTTCCAAAAATGTGGCAGTGAGAATACCAGCATAAAAAAGAGAAACTTGTGCTAAAAACAACCTGAATTCATCATTGGCAATATTACATAACAATCAAGGTCCTCACATACTGATTTCCACTTTGTCTATATTGCCAACCTCCCATGCATCAAAAAACAAAGCTAAGATTATCAAATTTTGAAAGCAATGAGGTACTCTATGAATTTTAAGATCATATTAGGAAAGTCCGGGAGATTTGCAAAATATAGCCTAATTATCCATGTGTACAATCTCATTTCTAGCCATTTTTCAGTGATCATTAGTGAATAAAAAAACAGATTTACATGATTATATAGTAGGGCATCTGGTCCAACACAAACGGTTACAAACTTTAGGTAAATACATGTTTCATAAGACACTGCTACCACTTAAGAGATTTAAATAAAATTCCAAAATTTGGTAAGCAAATAAAGACAAGACAACTAAGAAGCATTTTCCACCATTTACTCTTGTTATCAAAAATAGTTCAACTCTTCTTGCAAAACAAAAACAAAATCGTACATACTGGACACATACATCACATTTTTCTTCCTATGGCTTTAGCCCACCCCCGCCCCACCAAAAGAGACCAAAATTTTTTTTGGTTTTTTTTTTTTTTTTTATGGTTTTTTTTGTTTTGTTTTGTTTTTTTGTTTTTTTTTTAAAAAGCCCAATGACAACAACAAAACGACTACCTGACCACATTCACAGAAAATGACACCAGGATACACTACAAAACAGGAGGTGTCATCTGCTCTGTGTCCAAAGGATTCTTCTCCATGTCTTTATGAGGCGAGTAACCATCATTGAACATGCTGTGTGCCAAATCAAAACAACTTCAACACATCAGATCTCACGAGATGGTGAATGCAGTAGAAACTGGAACTTCCCTAGCAGTATTTTTCTTAAAATTAGCACTGCCAAAGCAGCAACTCTTTAAATCACAAGGCTATCTCTACACCTAGTCAGTCCTTGTTTACCTGGGCTGTGCGCTTTCAAGCAACTGACTAGACTTCCCTTCAACAGAATGTTTGTCTTCCACATGAAGTTAATAGGAAGAAATACATTAAAACTCAAACACAGTTTGTGCTTTACATGCAAAAGAGCATTCTAAAGAAAATCCTCCGAGCTTTATACCCACCTAAATGCACAGGCTTCATCAAAGGCATTTTATTAAGACCTTGATAAAGAAGCCTTCCTTATGAACAGCACCCTTTAAAAGCCAAAAAAAAAAAAAAAAAAAAAAAAAAAAAGAGCATATTCAATGTAATGCCTGTGGCAAATAAACAGAAATTAAAAATCAAATAAGTCATCAATGGCTATAAATATAATGCATAAATCTGGGCATGTTTGGGGCATTATTCCAAAATTATTCTAAATAGAACCCAATTTTTAAATTCTTTTTATATTTTATAAAATATGTCATGAACTGTATAAATTCAATTATGTTCAGAATAAAACAACTCTTCACTTTATTTACCAAATAGAACATTGCTCAAGTGAAAGGACTTAGGATTTTCTCATAGAAGTGAGTCAGATAACTAGAAAGGGGGCTGAACTCATAAATATTTAAAGCATAAACAGCTTAACATTTGTGGTCTGACAGAATTTATTTGTTCACTTTTTAAAAGACAGATTTCTTAAAACATTCTAATGAGGGGGAAATTTTCTTTCATAATACTGCTGATTTAAGAACTGCTACATACACGCCAGTAGCCAATTTTCATGATCAGAAATGGTATTATGTCAGCACAAAGGTTGAGCTGGACACATCAGCTTTCCAACAGGAGAAAGATCACTGCGGCATCGGAAGGCAGCACCAAGTCTCCTGATAAACTAATGGCTACTTTTCCACCAAAAAAAGGAAAAAAAAAAAAATTAGCACAATCTTTATGGACTGACTAGATACCACTTCCTTACATTTAATCATCAACTTTGATTATGCACAAAGCATGACCATAAACAATGAGGTTATTGTTATTTTCCTTGCCAAAGTTCATTTTGTATAAATCAGTTGCATCAGCATTTGTTCTCAAACTATGAGGTTCTGTAAGAACTAAGAACATATAGTTGTAGGGTTACTCCTCCATTATCTGCAAACTATTTCCCCGACACTAACACATATAACTTAGCAATGAAAACACTTGATACAAGTGATCTATATGCAGGAGCTCCGGCAAGTTAAACCAACAGAACCATAGCTGCCGTAAAACTGTAGCTATTTCCTACCAGGGGTAGGCTTCAAGACCCACTGACTTAACAGTCGAATCTCATATCTATAGCTTCATCCAAACTTTTGTCATCATGTGTACTGGCAGCTAAAAATGTCGTTACTGGGGACCCTGTGACATTGATTACACTGGTGCTGGTACTTGCATTGCGCACAGCAATGCTGGTCACATTAATGCCCAAAGTGAGTCTGGTCTGCTCCAAGGCCTTTTCTGGCACAGCAAATGCCTCCAGCTTCTTCTCCCCATTGGCCATGTAGGAGTTCTGGCAGCCACGACATATGCAATCTAAGCACGCTTTCCGGTTAGAGTAGCAAGGGCAGCGCTGGCCACGGCATGTAAGAACACTTGGATTTTGAGTAGCACGCCCACACTTACATCCTTTCTTTTCCTGGGGCTTTTTGTACACAGTCTTGGTAGGACTTCCTGGCATAAAATGATGACTAGGAATCTTTTCCTTTACTGCCTTGTCTTTTTTAAGAATACCTGGCTTGGATTTAGAGTGGGATTTCTTGGATCCGTGTTCATGACTCTTTTTCATGCTTTTAGTAGATAAAAGTACAGTTTTGCTGATCTTGGGTGTTGTGCCTCCATTGGGAACAGTTGCTATAGGTTGAAGGGAGATTTTGCTTTCACGCTTCACTGTCACAGGGGCAGACGCCCCCAGTGTTGGGCCTCGGATAATGGTAGAAATTGGAAGTGGCTGAACTTTCTCACTGTCACTTTCAGATCTGGATCTTTTTCGATTCAACTTTGCTACCTTCGGAGTTGCTGCTGTACATGATAACCCATGAAGTGTAGGGCTGGTAGACATAAAAACATTATGGCTAAGAGACTGGGAAGAAAGCTGCAAAAAAGGTCCGTTGGATACAGTGGCTTCCAAGTTTGGCTGCAAATTAGGACAGCAAACCTCTGTATTTGAAACAGTTTCTAAACTGCGGAGTACTTCCTCAACACTCAGCAAAAGAGAGTCACCAGGTTTTATGTCTTCACTGAAACTACAGATATCAATACCTGTGGAGCATAAATCAGTGGCTACCGTGTCACAGACAGGTGGCAGGCTGTCAGACAGATCCTCAGTTTTTATATCAACAGTATTACACACGTCAATCGTATTTGGATGTTCGGGTGAGGGAATATTTATACCAAATCTATCTATTGAAAGCCCATTGTAAGTAGGCAAACCATTGATAACAGAACTGCCGATAGCAATGCTGAGGGTGCTTTCAGACATTGGAGATAAACTAGCTTGAGGATCAGCTGTGGGTTCTGAGGTTGAAGGTAAAGGGGAATGTGTCAAACACAGAGTGAAGGATGAATCTGAAGGTTTCTCTGTCTCCTCACAAAACAATGATCCATCATTGAGCAAAGCTAAAATATCAGAAGAACAGTCAACTGCTTCTATTATATCCCGTGCCAGTGTCGTCTGGGTTATATATTCACACAGTTTCTTGTAGCAATTCACTAGGATGCTTAACTGCTTGTTTTCCTCAAACTGCTCATAGTCTTTGCACCAGCTACATGAAGGTTTCATCATCATTTTCTTGCCTTTACAAGTTTTGCAGACATAGTGTTGGCAGGTGGAGTTGGTGGGTGCAATAGGATCTTGTAGCAAATGTCCTAAGAGGGAGGAGGAGGAAAACACAGGTTTTAGTAAAACTAATTTACAGTTTCATATAATGGAGTTCAGCTATTATTCTCTTAAAACTGAAATTGGTTAAACTCACTAGACTGAGGAGGGTGTATATACATAGATAACTGAAGAAATACTCAACAGCTCTCTTCACTTCTGTAATACATTCTCCATTCTCTTATCTCAAACCAGTCTTCCTTGATGCTGGTCTTGTCCACAAAATGTTACCAACCTTCTTATGGGCTTCTCTCCAAAGGGTATCAAGAGGTAAAACTCAGTGGCCAGAAACATGAGGTGTAGG